TGAAGTCTGAATAAAATAACTAGCAGGCCTCAGACAGTCACGACTGAAAGGCCTGAAAATTTGCCTCCGTTGAAAATTTCAACGGCAGTATAGCCTTGTTGGTGTCCGGAAGCTACGGGACCAACGGTTTAGATTTTGCAGAACATTCGAGCTCCAGACAACAGTTCGGAAGAAGATGTGACCGCTGGAACATGGAAGTGTAATGTCAATGCTCAAATGAGAACTTATTGCAGGCGCCTAAGTAAGTTAAACCCTAGCAACTGCGATCCTCAGGCCCGGTTCCTTAGGAGAAGATGAGTCATGGGAGGCCAGAGTGGTAGGAACAATTTATTATGTACAGAAGGATGTGGAGAATAAATAGGAGGAAACTGACTTTCGGACGAGTGCAACCAGTTCCCTAGTGGGGCGCCATCCGGAATTCGGACTTGGCGGCAGTCATCCCAGTCAGGTCCTGTGTGAGTTCGCCTTAAAGGCGAATGACCAGCCAAGTTGAGGTCAGCATACGATTGCGGGCACGTTATTGGCTGCCGCGTTCTCGCGGAGTTTGCATCATCTGTGATTGGCTGTCCCAGAGGCCAAAAACAGTGAGCATTCGCAAGTGGGCGTTCGTGGGGAGCTAGTCAGTACAAACTGGTTGGGCGCTGGGTCGCAAGCACAGCGTGGCTACGATCGTAGCGTGAAGAAGACCAATCGCAGGAGGTCTGATAACGAAAATTGAGTGGACTATCCGAAGAAGTGGCCCATTGTCTCTCGTGTTTGCGCAAGCTATTGCTTGTGCTCACCGCCTCAACCGGAACGGAACTGAAGTAGTTGCCATGACTAATACGCATGATAATTTCTCGAAGCTTGGCACTCCGGCGCAAACAGCATAAGCAGGCACGTAGACCTTGATTCACGTTACGAAAGTTTGTTCGTATGGTCCACTAACATGCGCCCAGTATGAAGCAACAACTGTCTATCCGTGATCGGCCAAGTAGTACTTGCCTGATTCTGCATCTCTCCGACACATGACTCACAATCCAAACGTCTATACACCTCTCACCTGCAGCTCCTATCTCAGCACGATTTGGGTCACCCTAACTTCCCCCAACCCGCATCCCCTTTCCATCTAACCTAAGCCCACAAACCCTCCAGGACACTTCTCATTTCTTCGGAAGACGGGTTGTTGTTACCAGCTTGAAAATTTAAGAGCAAAACTTGATTCTTCCATGAGCCTTCTATCTCCTTTTATTATCTTGGAACGCGCACCATCTCAGTTATTCAACTTAAAATAGTACGGAATGGATCCGACAAAGTAAAGGGAGACCGGAATGGCCATTGCTGGCTTATTAGCCGTCATCAGCCAGTCATACCCAAATCAAGGGTCGTAACCCCCTAGATTAGAATCCGGGACCTTTAGTCATTGAGTTTACCGCTCTACCATTGCACCACGGGCTCGTTGGTTTGTCAGAGAATATGATGAATATATGGATATCGCCGATCTGCTAGTGGAACAACTAAGTTCCGTTTCACCCTACAGCTCACAATTAGAGTCTGCGCAGGCAGTCACATAGCGACTTTGAGGATAAGATGGAATGGATCCGTATGACTGGCTGATGATGGCTAACAAGCCAGAAATGACCATTCCGGTCTCCCTCTGCTTTGTCGGATCCATTCCATCGTATCCTTATAGTCACTATGTGACTGCCTGTGCGGGCTCTTATTGTGAGCCCTAGGGTAAAACGGAACTTAATTATTATATTAACAGCTCGGTGATACCCATATATTCATGAAATAGTATCTTTACAATTGTAACTGACAATTCTGTCAATTTATCAGTCACTGTTCAATATATCAACATGTGACTTAGGGACAAATCATCTTCCCCGGACGTACCTGTTAGCGAAATCAAGTAAAGACCCCTTTGGTTAAACGCATGTCAGGCAACGTAGAAATGGAAGAAAAGTCAATCCACTCTCGTGACACCATGTTGGAATCTATACTATAATTTAGGCTTATTCTTGAAGGATATTGAAGGGCAAGCTCAACTAAAGAAGTAATTTAAACGTTATTCTACCTATACTGATTTATTAGCTCGGTAT